CATAAGCTGAACGAATGCCGAGAAACAGTAAACGGCCATGGAAATCAAACCAAAGAAATCACGATAGGTTAGCACAAGATACATACACCAACCTAGGACTACATCTAAGAACACAGCCATAGATCAGGACATACAAAATTGACAATTAACTGGAGTTTTTCAAAGTACTGATTCGTGGAAAAGAAACAGAATAAAAAGAAGTTATTCAGCATAAACCAGACGAATCCCAACTCGTAGAGGGAACCCTAATTGCGTCATCTGTAAGGTATATTTGCCGACCTAAATCTAGGTATATTCATTCACCAGCTTAAATCTAATCGCAATCATTCAATTTCACATCCGACAAAGTATATTCGAAACAACCCGCGAAAAATCCCATCAAAACCTCCAGAAAATATCGTGGATCGTTCATCAAACCGATCGAAACAAAACCAGATACCGTACAGATCTAAAACTACGACATTAGGATCGACGAACAGATAAGATCGATGACCAGCATCTATAAACTGAAATCGGAAAACGTGATGAACACAGAGGAAACAGGAATCGAATCGAGAAGAAAGCGAGAGAATTTACTTTGGATTAGAACGACGCCGAAGGAGAACTCGGTCTCTAAAGGAGAATCGCCTGCGCCGAAGAACGAAGAAAATGAGAATTCCAGCAAACCAAAAGTAACTTGTCTAGCTATTTATATAGGGATTCAGAAAAAGGAAACGCGTGATTGTGGTTGTTCTAGGGTTAACTGAGCGCCCCATTTTATTTAATATTTTATTTATCCATCCACGGACCTCCCTTTGATTTTAAAATTTTTCCATATTTATGTTTTTTTTTCATTCCTTTTTCATTTTGCAATTCCGTGATCAGGAGAAATTATTTCGATTTCCCCTGTAGAAATCGATTTTGAGATGCGATCGAATTTAATCTTTAAAAAATAATTTTGCATTTGTTCGAAATCTAATCAACTATTTTATATTTAAAAATAAATACCTTTTTAAATTTAAATTTTAAAATAAAAATTAACATGAAAACAAATATATAATCATATATAAATATCTAAACTATAAAATAAATATCTAAAATTTTCAAAAAACTTATATAAATACCTATATTTTGAAAAAAATTTCAAATAAATTCAAAGTTCAAATATTTTAAAAAAAATGGTTAGTATCAATTAACAGATTTTGAATTTATATAGAAAATTTTTAAAAATTTAGATATTTTGTTAGAGTTTTTAAAATTTTATTTATATGAAAATTTTATAGTTTAGAGATTTTTATAAAAGTTGAAGTACTTAAATATTATTTTTTAATAGAAATATAATTAAAAAACAAAAATATTCAGATTAGGAGGATAGAAACATCCAAGGAAAAACTCTGGCATCTACCATTGGAACAGAATTTTATGAGCGATGGGTAATATGGGACCATTCTAATATCAATGATTTTGAAAAACACAAATATTCTGTTATCTATGTTTTGACGTGTAACTAGTTTAATAAATCTAATTTTTATTATTTTTAAAATTAAAATTTCAAGACAAAAATGGGTCTCTAATAACCTGTCAATGACATCAAATTACGCGAGGAGCCAAAGTCAGAGGACGTAACTATAAAATGGATAAGAATTTTATAAGAAAAAAAATAAGTTTGAGCAATTTTGATGAAAATAAACAATTTGTTGAAAACGAAAGACGAAAAACAAGAGAGATGTGCTCTAGAAAGAGAAAAAGTAAAGTATAATAGAGGGAATAGAGAGAAAGTTCTTTCGTATTTCGTATGTTCCAAATGAACTATATCTATGTCAATGAGAAATATAAAAAATTTCTTCGATGAAGAAATGTCAGCTTCTTCACTACGAAGAATGATCAACTTCTTTGCAGTGAAGAATGGTCAATTTCAACTTCTTCAGTGAAAAAGATAATATGGATCTCACTATATATCTACTTATACATTTACAATACAATTTTCGTTACTTAAGCTTTTATATTTTAAACTTTTATTTCATTGAAGAGTAGACTATAAGTTTGATAAATAAAAATAAAAAAATTGTGTTAAAAACACCTATTCGATTTTTTATATTAATCAGAATCTGATAACGATGAGAGAACATAACATTCGAATTTGAATATTGAACAGTAAAAATATGTATATATCGACACACGTGCCTTATCTTTGACGCTTCGATTGTGAACAGAGTATTTAGGATATTCAATATTCATGGATATCCATAATGGATAATCAAACAGTACAAATCCTATGACGGGTTTTAATTTCCGAAATTCCACAAAATTCATATTTGGAAATCTCGAATATTCAAAACATATTACTCAGGAAAAAAAAAAAGAAAAGAAAAAGCAATTCATGTTTTAACCAAAAAACAACGGCCACATTTAATTTAATTTAATATATGTACATATATCCCAAAACTGAAATGAGTAGACATATTATATAATACATAAAATAAAATTAAAAAAAGGGGTGGAAATATAATAAAAACGGATCTTATTAAACCATCAACGATGTGTGATACAGATCATAATATGTTTAAAAATATGTCATATTGTTATTACTTTAATCAAAAGGTGAAATGATCCAAAAATGAAAAATTATTCAGACAAGAGAATTGGCCACATCACAACATATCACGAAAAGAAAAGCGACGTTTTGACAAATTCAAAGGAATCGATGGAATTTTGTAGATTAGAATTCTAAATAACGGTGCACTTCTCGAGAATCTGGTTCGAAATTTTAGCAGTTCGGCTCGGAACCGATTTATTCGGTATTTTAAAATTTGTACCAAATTAATACCGTATATTATTCGATTCGATTTTGGTACGGTTCTATATTAGTTTTTGTTAAAAAAATTTAAATTTTCTTTAAAAAATTCGGTTTTTCAATAATTTTATAAAATTTGGTTCGATCTATAAAAACATATAATACGAAAAAATTTTCGATCTGAACCGAACCGAAATACAAAATAGAGTGAAAGATAGAGCAACAAAAAAGAAAAGGTTCATTCTTTTTTTTTTCCTCCTCTTTCTTCGTCTAAGCACCGTAGGCATGTTTTCCCTCTTTCCCCAATATACCCAAACAAACAAAAAAAGAACATTAGAAACCGAAGAAGATGGAAAGCACACACTCTGTGGAGATTGCATCTTCAAGACCAAAAGTGAAAGGACCTACAAAAGTCATCTCTGGAGGGGCAGGACTCCTCCTATGGCAAAAAAACCTCATCCCCCATTTGTTTATTTGCGCTATTTGCAACAACAAAAAAATTAAAAATAGAGACAGCCCTGCCCCCTTTTCTTCTTCCATGCCAAAGCTGCCATCTTTTCTCAGAACCAAAAAAAAAAAACCCAAGAAGGAAAAGAAGAAGAAGAAGAGAAGGAGATTATCTTCCATGGAGAAAAAAAAAAGGGTTCTTCTTCGGACTGATTCAGGAGTCTGATGAGGAGGTCGTGTCCTGCATTTCTTCTTCGTGTATAATGGACAGGTTCTGCAGGAGAGATGGTTTCAGCTTCTGGTACTGTGGAAGAGACAGAAGGAACATTTAGCCGAATAGTCAGAATAATGACCAGAGACTGAGGCATTGGATTGGAGAAGAGGGTTTTGTTTGTGTTCTTTTACCTGTTCGATAAAGGCGCTGATCTCCTCCGGGGTAAGGGCTTCATCCTCGCAATTGTTTTCATCCCATCCAAGGGATCTCAGAAACTCAGCCTCTTCTTCATCAGGAGTGTCTGCTGCTTCGAACCTCATATCACTCTCTCCCACCGGAGACAAACTCTGGACCCTTTCAGTGATGTTGTCCTTTTCACCATTTGCAGCCAGTGGACTAGAAGGGTCACCAGCTATATGCTCCTTCGAACTGTTGTCAGCCTTTTCCTCAGTGGAAGAAGACGAGATGCAAGAGCTGGAGTTAGCGGGATCAGTTGACATGTTTGTGGATATCTTCTGCTTCAGAGCATTGTAAAATTCATTCCACGGGTTTTCGAGCAGCGACGCGGAGAGATGGGGGAAGAACAACGGAAGCGGGATGGATTGGGAGGGGAAATTAGGGCTTTCAGAAGACAGGTGCGAAGAGAAAATTAGGGTTTTTGCGATGGGCAGAGAAGGTGGAAGAGAGACTGGTAGAAGAAAGGAGGCGAACAAAAATTTTTTTGGGATACTTGGAGGAGAAATGAAACGTATGAAAAAAAAAAAACATCCTCTTTTTTTCCTCTCCGAGAAAATTCCTGCTCTGAGTTTGAGCCAAGTAAGGTCTTTTCTCAACAGTTTGCCCTGATATCATGTTCATGGAAGCTCCCTTGATCTCCTTCGGGCTATTTGCACTTCTCACCGGAGCAGGTTGCGTGGAGGGAGAAACAGTTAGCTGGGTAGGAGCAGCTCGAGTGTTGGTACTACTGCTAGGACTTGCAGATTCTTTAACAGCAGGGGCACCATTTTCTCTAGCAGGTTTGAGAACCAGTAGCTTCTTTGATGTGTCGGGCTTGATCTGTGCATTGGGATTAGACAGGAAAGTATTCAGCTGTGATGCAGCGGGCTGTTGTTGCACATTTCTTGAAGCTGCAGGACCAATTTCACCAGCTCGAACCACTTGTTTGGTTTTGGATTTATCAGAAGGATTCAGAATCTGAGAAATCAAAACAAATAGATGATGAAATGGCCAACAGGAAAAGGCCGACAATACGACGACTAAGGCAAAAATTCTTACCGAACCCTTTGGTGCTGAAGGTACAACTGGTATCAACTGCCTCGATTGCTTAATAGCCCATTCCTCGAGTCTTTGCGTCTTTACAGATCCCTGAATTCGTAACAATATTTTAGACAGTCAGACAAAAGTTGCAACATAGCTTACACAAAAGATGGATGTTATGCCACACTTACCTGGGGTGGGGTACGAGTTCTGGCCGGAGCCTGTACCAGTGCTTCAGCCATGTTGAGACTAGTTGTGCCTGTTAAAGTACCTGTGGTAACAGCACTAGCTTGAGGGGAAGGTAATGACCCGGTGCCACTCTTGTCAATGACATTGGGGACCTCAGCCAAAGCAGATGTCCAACCTTCCCCGCCAATCAAAGCTGAGCTACTCACAGGCAAGCTGTGGACAACAGAACTAAGACCAGGAGATGAAACTCTCACAACATCTTGTCCCCCATGCCTATCTTCAGCTCCGAGCGAAGGAAAATCCTTATCAAAACCCGTTTTCTGAAGGTTATTGCCAATAGTAGGTCCGGAAAGTATACCATTTCCATTGTATAGATTAGTGTTGCCACCATTTTTCAGACCCACTGCAAATCCTCGAGACAGGTAATCACCCTGTTTCCTTGTGATCATTGAATGTGATCGTCTCAACTGATCCTGATCCCTAGATTCCCTACCAGTTAAGACGCTTCCAAGAGGGAGGGTGTCATTGTCCCACGGATCCATGTAGCTTAACCTATCCTTCTCCCTGCTACGATCCTTATCTCGATGACTCCTACTGAAGTTGAAACTACTATATGCATGTTTTGCAGACCCAATACTAGAACCCCTCCGTGAATTGGTGGAAGAAGACCGACCCAGGAAAGGGGACCGGATTGTATCGATATCACCTTTGCTCCTAGAATTCCTATTCCTGCTACTATGCGGTAAAGATGCAGAATCTAAACAAGAAAAAGAACATAAAATTATCATCAATGCTACCCGAGAAACCAAACTACATGATTAAAATTGAATAAAATAAGCATAAGAAGACTCGGGCATACCTGAATGAGAGGAAGATGATACGGCATGGTGGTTCGAGCTCCCACCACCAGAAGCACTCCCTGCTGTTCTCAACCATTCTGGAGCTAACGAGGGTTCACTTCTTGCCATTAGGAGGACTGTACATCATCAGATAAAAAAGAAAGAAGAACACTTCTATGGCCTTCCTTCAACCGCCCAGAAGAACAAAAACACAAAAGGTTCTTCTTTCGGCACAAAGAGCACAACTTGTCTAACCTATCCTACCCTCTTTCTTTCATCTAATCGCTTGCTGGAGTCGAGGCCAATGATGGGAATTCACCAATCAGCCACTCAACGGCGATTTCCGCACGAATCAGAACGAACTGTGTGAATTCTGAATCTCATGTAATCACTCCGAGGAGAATAAAAGAGATAGAAGCAGTGATGCAAATGTCCTCTAGACCGCCATCTCTCACACAGATGGATTAGCTGATGATCAAAACCTAAACTACAATTCCCTCAACCTAATGAAGAAAGGAGAGAAGGCATGAAAGGAGAATCCACCACCTATAATATAACGGAGAATCACAAAAGGGATATATTTTTTGCAACCTACTTTGCACCTGTAACCCGTTCAACAATGAAATACCAATGCCACACCCAAAATTACCAATCGCCTCGACCAGAAACCCTAACACCTACGCATGTACCTCTATATATGATTACCACTATCGATGCCTAATCAGAGCAGGCGATGGGGTTCGAGACGATGCAGAATTCGTTCAACACAGCATCAGGAAAACACGAGGGGGAAACAGGAACGAGGAAAAACCAAGCGACGGCGGGCGAAACGGAGAGAACAGAGCAAAACCCTAACCCAGAGAGAGAGGTTGCTCGTTCACACGCAGGACCCAGGAGTTTCGTGAACGCAATCGCTCAATCCGAATAATGGCTTCTTCCCCACGGAGAAAGATAGCAAAAGAGGAAACGGGTTTTCGAGCAGCGACGCGGAGAGATGGGGGAAGAACAACGGAAGCGGGATGGATTGGGAGGGGAAATTAGGGCTTTCAGAAGACAGGTGCGAAGAGAAAATTAGGGTTTTTGCGATGGGCAGAGAAGGTGGAAGAGAGACTGGTAGAAGAAAGGAGGCGAACAAAAATTTTTTTGGGATACTTGGAGGAGAAATGAAACGTATGAAAAAAAAAAAACATCCTCTTTTTTTCCTCTCCGAGAAAAATCAACTTTTATTTTATTTTATTTTTATTTTAATGTAGTTTTTACTGGGAGTTTTTTTTCCCTGAAGTTTTATAACAGACCAAATTATATTATTTAATTTATTTTTACGTTTTTGTTTTTGGGTTTCTAATTAATTATCTTTTGGGAAGATTTGGATTACCGGGCGTACATATAGGCCCAACTATCCTATATGGGCCATGGACTTATATCGTATTGTTTACACCTGAATACAAAAATTATAAGAAACAACTAAAACAAATTTAAAGTTTTTTTTAAATGTCTAATTAACTTCACGAATATATTTGTATAATTATATACACATTAATATATCTATTAATTTATCAATTTCAAATCTAATTAAAAAAAATTAAAATAAATCAATATCGTTTAAATCGAATTGAAATTAATTTTGTAAAAGTAAAAAATCTACTAATTTAGATATATAGAAAATTTTGGATTTTATTATCCTTTTAAAAATTATATATTTTTCGATTTTATCTCACTAGTCTCTAATTATACTCATTTTTGTTATATTTTTAGATTGTATAATATAATAAATATAATCGGTGGTTATCTTAAAATGCACGATATAAATATAAGTATGTTACAACTCATATAATAACTGATGGTTCTTGACATGGTTGGAAAAAAAGAGAGGATACACTACAGTTTCAAATGTAAATTATATTTCAATGGTACTTAAATTTATTTATAATCCAGTGTTTTTAATAAATTGAAAGTAGAAAAAATATATGAGTTTTTTTTATTATTATTTTATGTGAATTATGATATTTCACTCCCTTCAATTTCAGTTGTATTTGCATAAATACATAAATAGGTTAATCATGCATGCAATTGATGGACTACAAACCTCTAGAGTCCGTACAAGCCTATCAGGCGGCGTTGAATATGTTACACAAAGTCTTCGCATCAATAGTTGTCTTTTGTTTTTATTTGTTTTTCTAAATAAATTGATTTCAAAAGAAGTGAATATTTCGAGTTTTTATTTAATTATTTTTAACATTTAAATATTTTTATATGTTTGAACAGTTATAACTACGCTTTTATATTTATGTAGTTAAAATTAAAAAACATTTTAAATATTTTAAAAATATTTATTTTGATTTTATGTATTCACATTGATCCTAAATTAATGATTTACTGTTTAGGGCAATATCATATTATGTAAAACCTATAGTAAGTGACAATGATTAAATGTCAAAAGAATGTTTTTTTTTAATAAAAATATTCATTAGCACGCCAATTTAAACTTAAAAAAATAATTATAACCAAAATCTACAATATTGTAGGAGTGTAATCAGGCTGGTCCAAGTCCGCACTCATCCCAAAGGTTTCAGGTTCAGATTCGGGTTGATCAGATTTTTTTCTGGTCCATATAACTAAATCTGAAATCCGATCCTATATATTTCGGGATTAGATCGATTCTGACCATACCGAATCAATCCGCATATTTTCTTTTGTAAATATTTTTTTAAAAATATCGGATTTTTAGATCGGCCCAAATCGAGTCTGAAATCCGATTTGATCCCGATCCAAAAGCCTAATTTTTTAGATGGAAAAACTTCGATTCTAAATCCGCTAATTTTTGGGAAGGGGAAGGAGGAGGCTTCGACCCTCGTACCTAGATCGAGAACCACCAATATTGGCCTCAAACTAAAAACTAAAACTATGTATGCATTGGGATTCTAATTGACCATGGTTTTTTTTTTCAATTTTTTTTTTAAAACTGAGGAATATATGTGTCCCTTCGCGGAGGTAATTGACCCTAGACAGTGAAAACATAATAACTATTCCCAAAATCAATAACATGTTAGGTAATTATTCATATGATTCAAACAATATTATATATTTGATATTTGGTTGACCAGAGCTCAATGTTCGACCGACGAAAATAGTTGGTATTATAGTGGTAGACATATTTAAAGGACGATTAATTGGTATCAACCGATGAAGTACCCTTTTCACAAAATTTATACCAATTTTTTCAAACTTATATTTAAAATATACGTTTATAACTTGCAAGATAATTATATTATATATAAACAATAATTTTGTGAAGCGACAAAAACGTTTATAGAGTGATCAATTCCATTAACCGAATCAATCTAAATCGAATAATGTACCACTGAATTGATATAAAAATTGAATTGTTAAATTTTTTTTTAAAACAAAACGGTAGACAAATCGAAGTAATCTGAAAAGGTCAATAAAATTTTAATTTTTAAATGATTATTTCTGTAAAAATCGACATCGATTCAGAAACAAACCGAGTTTAATATAAAACTGGAATAGTTAATTTTTTAAAAAAAAACCGAACTAAGTCGAATAAACGAAAACACGCGGAAGCAGAAATGACCGCCCCTCGGGCGTTCGCCCAAAGACAGCCGCCAATCTTGAACGTGCATGGGCCCAATAACCGAAGGCCCAAAAACTCAAAAGTTAGTGGGACCCACATAAGCATTTTGTTTATAGATTGTATTTGTGTGCTTATACATTATAAACTAAATAAAAATAAAAACAAAAATTATTTACATTTTTATACTGCGAGATTAAGTTGGTAAAGACATTAACATGCTATATGATATTATATTTAAAAGAGTTTTAGACCATTAAAAACGGTATAACGTTAAATTTAATTTACATGCGACATATTCAATGTTTTTTGAATTATTTAGTAACTAATTATATAAAACTATCAGATACTCGTTGTTCTAAAATAAAAACTATATTTTCAATCTATTTGATAATAAATGTTTTAATATTTATTTTTTAAAATTTAATAATCAACTCTTTTTTTTATAATTTTATACGAAGTTATTCCTATATATTATAGCATTAATATAAATATACGAAATGATTATGAGAAATAGATATCAAAATAAAATATTAAAAACATTTCATCAATTGTTTTATATTTCTATTTTTGTAATTTTTTTGTAAAAAATTTATAATACCAAAATATATACTACATAAAATTAGGCAATAAAATCATAAAAGTCAGTATATCAATATATAAAATTAAAGATAGAACTCCGGTATTAGAATGTATTATAAATAAATAAAGAAATAATAAACAAATAGTGAAGAAAGGTCCATGGGGATGCGGGATTATTATTCCACAAAACACCGCGTTTTTGCTTCGCTTTCAACGCCTTTGCGTTTACCGTTCCCTCCGTTTTCCCCTTCAGGGTTTTTGCTTCCGCTTTTACTCTCCCATTTCTCTGGTCAGCCCTCTTCTTCTTCTTCACTTTCTTCCTCGATTTTCTCGGGAAAGTGTCGGAAAATTTCCGAAATTGGATGAACTGTTCGCTCTCTGCTTCAGGACGAGGAGTTTGTTTTCGCTTTGAGTTTGAATTGGAACAGGGGAATTGCACATGGATGTAGCTTCCTATGCATAATCTTCACCGAATTTTCGGTCGTAGGAATAATTCTTCGGCTCCGATGGACCCGAGCCGGAGTAATGGCCTCGCGACGCGGCGGCTCGAGCGCCGGGACGCGTTGAAGCGTGTCGACTACGACGCCGCGTCGTCTTGTTCCTCCGCCGAGGATCTTTCCGTGTCTCCGCCAGCTTCTTCCCTCTTCACACGCTCTCTGGATCTTCCTCCTCCGACCAGCTTCAGAATCGGCGGCGGAGAGGGCGAGATGGATCGGATTTGCCAGACGCTTGGGATTTCGAGCCCCGATGATTTCGGTATCCCTCTCGAGATGTGGGAAGCGAGCAGGAAGCGCTCGTCGTCCGATCTTCTCCCGAGGATCAAATCTATGGGGCTCGATAGTCAACAAGTTCCGGCGGAGGAGGTGAGTGAAGGAGGCTCTTGTCGTGCTGTTGCTGGTAGTTCCGCGGATGGGGAAGATACTGAGGCGGCGCGTCCCGAGTCGAGTAAGTTGAACGAGCCTTGTGATTGTAGTACCTCTGGACGTGGTGATTCTCGTGACGAGGGACTTGAAGGTGGTTCGAGTCATGTAGGCCTAACTCGGACCGGCGTGGTCGAGTCCACAAGGTCTTCTATCCCTGCTACCAGCGGCGGGATCAAGGGCATAAGACCACCACCGGTGCTGAAGCCTCCTCCGGCGATGAAACTGCCACCTATCGATATGAGTTGGTCTTCTTGGGATATCTTGAGGGACTTTGCACCTAATAGCGTACCAGGACGTTTCCCCGAGGTGAATCAGCGTCCGGTGTCCTCATCTTCTTCTGACCATAGCGATGACGAAAATGAAGCAGATGAAGCAGTGTTTGAAGAAACAGAGAAGAGAGAAACAGAAGCAGATAGACATGACAAAGCTATTGTTCTCCAGTCTGGAGACGCGGTTGACGAATCACGCTTGTTCACTACAAACGACTGTGACACTCCGAGCACAATGTCTAATACTTCACCAAATTATCCATCCATGCCCATCATCACGGATTGGCAAAAGGGTCAGCGTCTGGGACAAGGGTCGTTTGGCACCGTCTATGAAGGAATTGCTGGGTAAGTCACGAAGTGTAGGTTGCTTCATTGGTGCTCGTTGAACTTTGATACTTGGTTTGCGATCACTGGAAGAACAATGTGTCTCTGTGTATTCTGAGATGTTAAATATACGAGCTAAAGGCATTGATGAAGATGAACATCGGTAGAGGTTGCTTGATTAAAAGGCAAATGCTTCTCTTTGCTAGAAAGAGGAAATCCTTAGACTATCTGCACAAATGGGACACATTACTTTAACTGCATGTTAATCCTTCATGCCTTTGGCTGATTCCTATTCTTTCGGCTGATGCTTATGATTTGTGCAGAGATGGAGATTTCATTGCCATCAAGGAAGTCTCGTTACTTGATCAAGGAAGTCAGGCTCAAGAATGCATACAACAACTTGAACGGGTGAGATAAATCGCAGGCTTTGAAGTGTCAAGCTTTTTATCTGTAAATATGTAGCATCTTTATTCGGAAGCTCCCCTTACTTATTTCACCCTTCTTCCTTTTCTCCAGGAGATCGCAATTCTGAGTCAGCTTAACCATCCAAACATTGTGCGGTATCGTGGTACATGCAGGGTACGATCCCCTTTTCCTTCCCTTTTCTGTTTTTTCTTTCTTTCTGGATAGCTACTTTCTGTGTCCTCCACTGTTGACTCTGACAATATGCTACATATTGCTGTTTGCAGGATGGATCAAATCTGTACATTTTTCTGGAGCTTGTAAAAGGGTCCCTTCTAAACCTATACAGGACTTATCAGCTTGGGGACTCCCAGGTATCTGCATACACTAGGCAAATTCTTTGTGGTTTGAAGTTTCTCCATGATCGAAACTTTATCCACCGGTGAGAATAGCAGACAAAATCTTTTTCTCATTTGTTCCCGCATTTCTTCAAATCACCCTTTCATAAGCTAATTTCCTTGTTTCATGCAATGAAGGGACATTAAATGTGCAAATATACTAGTGGATACAGATGGGTCGGTAAAACTTGCAGATTTTGGATTGGCAAAGGTTCTTTTTCAATTTCCCATCTTAACAGTTTCTCGTTTTGAATAACAACAGAGTAGGTTCTACTAGACTTGCAGATATAACACATCTTAACTGTTCATTTTGTTGCTTAGGTGACGAAATTGAATGATATTAAGTCCTGCAAGGGAACTCCATTCTGGATGGCTCCAGAGGTATGCCTTCATCTTCTATCATTTCTGTGGATGGTCATACTCGTTCTTCCCATCTCCAAATGAGCTCATTTGATGAAAATATAACACATCAGCCGAAATGTATGCGTAATCTTATTGGTAGAAGACAATTTTTTTTTTCTGTTTTGGTCATACATCGCGCATGCACTCTGAAAGATTTTCTTTTTTCTTGGTAGGTTCCTCTCTTATAAAACAATTAAACCCTGTGTTGTAAACTTTGTTGCAGTAGTGTTCTTATCTTAATCGATATGGAAAGGAATTGCATTTACCTTAGAATGGGAACCTCAGCTAATTTGTTATAATGACAAAGGCGTTCCCTGTACTGATGAATTTGTTTGGAAACATGCTAATGAGTGGATCAGCTGACGGATGATGAGGACTGTGTTCACTTATATATCGGTTCCTGAATTATAGAACTTATAATTTCAGGTGATAAATAGGAAGACGAACGATGGCTATGGGTGTTCTGCCGACATATGGAGCCTTGGCTGCACCGTGTTGGAGATGCTGACGGGTCAAATCCCGTACTCTGATCTCGAACAAGTAAGTTCCCAATATTTTTGTATCAGTGTCTTAAGATTCTGCTTTTCATTCCATGGCGTTGACTGGTGAACGTGTTGAGGTCTGCTTGCATATTTGCATTTACGTCAAGAAGGATCCATCAGTTTGTGTTTGTGGTTGCTGTTGCATTCGCAGCTCGCATACAAAATGATCACGTTTTCAATATGCTTTTTTCAAACAGATGAAAGTGAAGGATGTGGGCACAGATTTCTCTGGCCAATGAAAAGAAATAGAGAAAAGAAATTATTAGATTTGATGAAAGCTTTGAATATCTGTAGAATGTAAATTTAAGCTCTAGAATGAGGTAAAAAAATGTAGAAGCGAATAAAGAAATCTGATCTTGAAATTGGTTTCTTGCTTTTGTTATAGTTCATTCAAACAGGTGATAGAAAAAGTTTTAATTTTTAGGGACAAATCTCATATAAAATACCTAACTTTGCAAAGATAAATTCGGAATTTCGAAACTCTCATAAACAAATATGAAGTTTTAGTGAGTGCCATATTAAAAATGAACTATCTAAATCTTATCAAATTCCGGATTGAAAACTTAATTCAATATTTATCGAAAAGATCTAGATAGTTCGTTTTTTATGACACTCACGGAAAACTTCATATTTGTTTCTAGGAGTTCCAAAGTTTCAGTTTTTATCCTAACATTTTTTTTTTGACAAAGTTAATTACCTTTATATGAGATATCCCCAAGCTGAAATGAACTTCATGACCCCGTCTCCTTTTGCTACTCCTTGCAAAAATCGCAGGTTTCAGCTCTGTTTAGGATCGGAAAAGGCGTTCTTCCATCAGTGCCTGACACTC